TTTGATTACTTTTTTTTTGGTCATACATAATTACGGAAGAGTGGAAAGGGTGAGAAAGAGACTTGAATCATCAACATCTAGGTCGTATAGTGGGGAGAACTCACCCACTGTAATAGGGTGTAGAGCTTCGAAGAGAGTGGAGAGTTTTGCCGATTGATAGCCTCGTAGCTCCCACAGTCGTAGATCCCACAGAGAGAGAGAGAGAGAGAGAGAGAGAAAGAGAGTTTTTTGTTTTATATATGTGCCACATAAATGTCCAATTTTTTGCTTTTAATGAAAGTCGAAGACTGGACCTCATTAAAAGTCTCCCTTAACCCACATGTTTTCTTTTTCTATGTTTTAAAAAACATCTTCTTTTTTATTTTTAAAAGTCACCATTGTTTTCAAAACAACTCGGCCAAAAAAAAAACGTAAACATAAACCCAACGTATTATTATTTTTAATTTTAACAAAAACTTAAAAAAAAAACACAAACACATGGACATGGTTACCAAATACACACTAAAATAGATGTTTATTCACCGAATCAAGTCTCTTTTAAATATATGTTTTTCATATTTTTTTTTTCTTGATAAATTATCTATCATTAATTCGTGTGAGACTTATTATATAATGGTATTCTTCATAATACATGTCAAGTAATTTATTAAAAAAATAAATAACAGCAGTGAGTCGGACCTAGATTTATGGCAAACCAATGGGATTGGGAATGTAATCTGCGGGAACCACAACTATGGTTGGGGGTGGATAAGTATTGATTGCATATCACCCTTGGCTTAGTTTAGAGGTAGGTGGTAGAAGTCAGATTTTCGGCTTTTATATATTTGAATTTATGGAGCGTGATGATTGACTAATTTTTTTCGAAGTTATTTTTTTATTTATTTTAATTAACTTAACCCATAGTTTGTTTTCATATATAGGACTTATTAATGTTATCTCCTTCATAAAAGATTCGACCACTATGGCCCAGAGCAGTTGCTAAATAGTCGAGACATTTGGTGAGAAAGGAGACTAGTCGAGGTGACTATAAATTGATTTGGATACTCTTGACCATTGAATATCCCGATAAATTTTTACTAATGGAATCATGGAATCCTTTACCGTATCCGTTATTATTCTTAAAAATAACCTAGTTAGACTAGTATAACAGTCAATCATCGAATCCCATTGTAGATTCTAAGATTTGAATCTCTAACCTCGGAATAAGAAATTCGGCCGGTACCTCACTGGACTTAGTTTATTATATTGATTCACATTGACACACCTACCCATACGAAAATAAATAAATAAATAATTTATTTATTTTAACCCCTACAGTTTTTCATAATCGTGGCAAAAAATAAGTCACATATCAATTTTGGGTCCCATTTCCAACCTCTAATTCTTTTAATTTTCCTTTTTCTTTTCTATAATTATCGAAACTAATCTCTTATTAAATATTGTTTTACTCTTAAATAATGTAGATGGTGATATATGAAAAACTGACATACGCCCAATGGAAAGGAGTCTCGTGTCTGCTAATGGTTGTTGTAAACTCCACGTGGCAGAGGATGCCAAATTGCCAATCAATCTCAGCCGTCGCTATTGTTAGGCCACCAATAAGATTGGCCATAGACCCCCCCGATGCATGCCCTGTTTGGAATCGTCCCAAAATTAATTTAAGAAACACGAGTTATAAACTTATAATAATAAGCATGGTCAAGTATTTTAAAGTTTTTTTTGTAACCCATCCAAACAGATCGCGACGATACCCCTGAAGAGAAAAAAAAAGGGATTGGGACAAAGTGGCATCTTTTCTTTTCTTTTTTTTTAATCAGAGAAAAAAGGAAGAGGAACGTTGAATAGGTTATAACCTCGGGACGTGAACATGAGAAATTCTTACTATAAAATGTTCGATTTATATTGTAACTATTAATTCACATTATTTCTATGACTTAAATTATATTTGATAACTATAAGAGAATTAAAGTGGATTTTAATCAGATACGATTTATCGCTGAATCAACTGTTTGTACAGGTATCAATCGTGTCGTGTCGTATCAGTTTCGTGTTGTGTTATTTTCGATCGTGTAATTTTCGTGTCGTATCACTTTCGGTACATGTCAGATTCGTGTTATTAAAAAATTATTTAATTTGACAACAACTAATATAATACTATTTAAAAAATTATAAAATTCTTATTTTCTATATACAATACTCGTTAAATAATTATTTTTTATCTACTATACCCATTAATCGTGTTATTCGTATCGAACTTTAAGTTAAACCATTTATTACTCATATCAAACTAATCATTTTATTTTTAAATTTATATCGATTTCGATTCGAATCCACTTCTTGTTCGGATCAAAAATTGACACCCTAACTGTTTGGGTGGACATCAAAGTGGCATGAAATGCACATGATTTTGCATTGACCTTCAAAATCGTGCTGGTCACCGGCTTGTCACTCTCAAGTGTTTGACCCCACCACTTTGGATTGATATCCCACGCGATCTAAGGGCGTGTGAGCCTCCCAATCCTCTATTCTGTATGATGTTAACATTTAAATATTAAAGCATGTTTCTTTGTTTGCCAAGTACAACAAACCGCTGGTAATAAAATTTGGAGAATTAATCATGTCATAGAGGGAGTGAGATCCCACAATTTTTTTTTTATCTATTTTCCTTTTTTTTTTATGAATTATTTACCTTAAATTCAACTAAAATATATTCTATATGAGTTGATTACTTATTAATATACTAGACATATCCCATGCTTAAAGGTATGATAAAATATAAAATTTGAGCGTCTAAAAAATCAATCTCACTATATTAAATAACATTTTATCTTTTCTTCATTTTTTATTACATTATTTAAAATTTATTTTTACCCATTATTTTATTAAAAATATCGATAAAATTTTCTCAAAATATATTTCGATAAATTTTTCTCAACATGTGTATAATATTTGAAATAAAAATTATATTAAATTATAAATTAATCAAATATTAAATAATTGAATATGTGATAAAAATAGGTGATTTTATTTTTTTGAGGGATAAAAATTTAAGTTACTAGTTATTTTGTTATATAAATTACGAGTGATTTGCCAAGAAAAAATGAATAATAAAATGTGCATTTTTTTTCAAGAATATACGATTAAGGGTGTATCTTTTTTCGAGGATAAAGTAGTGGAATTGGATTAATTCTATCCAAAACTTAACTCATTAAAAATACGGGATTGACAAAATAAGTATATTTCATGGGGGTAAAATTGAAAATATGCGGGCAAGATCAGATTACTTGGAAAAAGAAGATTAATTCATCATCCAAAAATTAAATTCAAACGATTATATGCTGGAATATTTGATTTTTATTAAATCAAGAACGATTCACAAATTAAGGAATCAAAAAGATCAAGAGTTATTTCAATTTAAGATGATTCGGGGGTGACAGATTTGGAACATATTTTAAGTATTCTTTTATAACGGCTCTTTAATTCTATCAATATTTTCAAAGGTTATATTTCTTTGACCAAGAATTTTCAAGGATAACAATTCCAAATCATCGGGCTTACTTCTCTATCACTAGTATTTTGGATAAAAACATTTTACTATATTTGCAATGTCATTCTCTAATAATTAAGGTATAGCAATTTTTTTTTAAAAAAAAGTATCAATAATTTATGATTTTTATTACATTCTTTTCCGATTTATAATTGAACAATCAAATCCCATTTTTCATAATTAATTTCAAAGAAGCCGTAATATTTAATATATCCCACTTTTACCCATTTTTTTTTTTAGTGTTAATTGCAAAATTGACAATCTTATCTTTACTCAACTAGATCAGAGACTTCAAACTAATTTAAGTTATAAGCACTTTCACTTAAAATCATCTCCATATGACTTTTCAATTTCACAAAAATCCAAATCGAACTTGAACTCAACTATGCAGCAAATCTTGAACTTAGAAATATACATAAGAAAATACAACCAATTTTTCACCAATAAATCTTAAACCATAAATTTGAGTGCCTGCCCCAACCCAAAACACGTACACTTAAAGAATTCAAAGAGAATTATGAGACAATGGGTGTAGAAAGAAAGGTGAGGGGGGAACCACCCCTTTTGAGTGTTTTTTTTTTTTGGGGGATTATTTGATTAATAGAGGACAATGACAATTTTGTAATTAACACTTAAAACTAAAAAGGGTAAAAATGAGATATAGTAAAAAGTAGGGCTTTTTTGGACTTAATATGACTAAATGGTTTTTTTGGGGACTCAATGGGTTTTTTTTCCAAATTAAAAAAAAAAAAAATTTAAGGAGCGTGTTCTTCACTCCTTTGAACATCGTGGTGGGCCTAATAATTTTTCAGGACTACTATTTAGTATTCACGCCCCATCTATTTTAACTACAACTTGCCATAGTGATTCTAATCCAACGGTCAACATGCAATCACTTTTAACTTGACCGTTAAAAAAGATATGAGAGTCCACAATAAGGATCTATGTTGCCCAATCCTGTCTCTGGAACGAGCAACTCCAACCATTGGATCATTTCAATGATGTTAACGTCTAGGTGACGCTAGAGAATGTGGGTCCAACCATCAAGACTTTGAGAGTATTATGATCAAAGCAATGCACGTGTAACCATGATAATGGTCTGCAGTACTATCTGATAATTATTTAAATACAAGGTAATATTATGTTTTTATTATATATATATGTCATGAATGTATGAAATGATCAGCATCAAGGGCACAACCCTCCATCGTTTCCCTTTATATTGTCCATCTCCCAACACAAATCATCACTTTGTCGGCCTCTTTACTCTCTCTCTCTCTCTCTCTCTCTCTGAGCAAATAGCAATCAGAAACCAGAACTCCTCTCAACTTGTGTTAAGTGGTTGGTAACTGCTAAAACACAAGCACTAATCTCTCTCTTCTCTTGAACAAACAAAGTCAGCAGTCTCCATTCATATTATATACAGAGCAAAAATATAACCACAACTCTCTCTCTCTCTCTCTCTCATAACATAACTACATAAGTATCACAGTTTCAATCTCTTTGCCCCTTGCAACAACTTTGCAGGATGCCCAGATTTGGTTTGACCACAACCATCATCTCTTAACATTTCTCTATCTCTCTCTGCATAATACCCAAATTTCCTTTAGCCACAACTGTCATCTTTTTAACAAAATACCTCTCTCTGTGTCTGGTGAATTGGTTTAGACATACCTACATCTCTTGAACAAACTACGTACTCTCTCTCTCTCTCTCTCCTGCTAACATGACACGCGAACACTTGCTGACTCTTCCTAGAACCAGTAGCTGCAAAACCAACAATAAGATAATTCCCTCAAACTACACGAGATCATCATCTCTCAACCCAGAAATTTCAGAAAATTTCAACGACAAACCACTCGTCCAAAAACGCACTCTTGGAAACTTCCAACGCCTATCCAAAACCCGTTATGGAGTCTCCGATCTCATCCGATCATTCCTCAACATTTTCTCTCTCCCCGCCATAATAATCCCCACCTGTCGATGGCTTTCCATACCAACCCAACTCTCAATAACTCCTTCATTAGGCCGTAAAGTCACCGGCACACTCTTCGGCCACAGGAGAGGTCACGTCAGCTTCGCCGTCCAAGACGACCCACGCTCTGAACCCGTTTTACTAATCGAACTTGCGGTTTCAACATCGACTCTAGTGAAGGAGATGTCCTCAGGGATGGTCAGAATTGCATTGGAATGCGAGAAAGGCCGGCCGGAACGTGGCCGGCCGGCTAAATTGTTCAACGAGCCAACTTGGACTATGTACTGCAACGGAAGGAAGTGTGGGTACGCGGTGTCACGCGCGTGTAGTGAGTCTGACTGGCACGTTCTTAACACCGTCAAGAGCGTATCGGTCGGTGCCGGAGTAATTCCCGTGGTGGAGGACGGTGGTAAAGGTGGTGGTGGGTCGGAAGGTGAGTTGTTGTACATGAGAGCGAGGTTTGAGCGAGTTGTAGGTAGTCGTGACTCGGAAGCTTTTTACATGATGAACCCGGACGGCAATGGTGGTCCTGAACTCAGTATATTTCTGCTTAGAATATGAGGAAGAAGAAAGCTCTGTTGTTTGGAGGTGGTGTTTGGATACAAGTGCAAGTCAGACATGAATGTGTTTGTGTTTAGTGACTTTGTATTTTATTTTGTATGATTATGTACTTTTTATCTTGTTTATTTCTTGATATTTGACTTAGTTTTTAATAGACATGAAGGGAACCTGCAATTGTCAATGCAAAGTAGTTGATGTAAAAAAGAAAAAGCTTTGTGATGTAAATTCTTAAAACCAAAAATTTGTAATGTGGCAGTGAAATCTGATAAGGTCCCGTTGTGACGGTAATTTTTGAATTTTTTTGATGGGATTTTATAATTTAATATATCATTATGTTAACAAATTAAATTAATTTTTTAAATCCGAATAATATTACATCTTAGTTGGAGTTGATAATCGGATTGAAGTACTCAAATTTGGCTCATTTTAAATTCGTTTAGATTCGACTCGTTTCTTAAATGAATAGAACTTAGAACACTTTTTTTAGGATTGTTAAGAAAACAAGTTCGACGGGCTCAATTCGAACTCGACAAATTCGACTTATTTGTGTGTAAATAATTGGACTCGATTTAGATTCGATTCGTTTTGCACTTGTTCAAAGCTCGACTTATTTTTTAAATAAGTCAAACTTAAAAATTTGTTTAGGCTCACCTAGAAAAATAAACTCAATAAATTTAACTCGTGCTCGTTCAATTATCGGTCCTAATTTTATTGTAGCTCTAACTGCTTTATGAGAAAATATTAAGTATAATAGTTATACAACATGATCATGCTAATATGGTATAATAGTTATACCATGTCACTGTACTGATACGGTGTAATGCTCTTATAATAAGATAACATGTAGACAAGTAAATCTCACATAAATAGTTACTGCACAACATAAATGAGTAGTTAGCATTCGTTTATTAGATCTAAATTCTTTCCGATACACTTTCTCTTTAATCTTCTTCTTAACACATCATCCATTATTAGAGGTTGGTGTACTGTTTAAACATGACTCATCCCCCTATATGGTGCCGAAAATGTCACTGTTGATATCGAAGTTTCGAGATATGGATGCGCATGCTGGTTTGTTGTATAACAAAAACTATTCATGTCTTTATTCAATATAATACATTGACGGATTTAGTTAATCTGTCTATATTGGCTTGACTTTGTTGGTGTGCTTTCTCCTAATTGGAAGGTTATGAGGCAGTTAACGTCTTATGAAAGCGATACATACATGGGTACACACTTGAAATTAGAACTTAAATACTTGTTACAAGAAGATTAGGTGGGTCGTAGCGATTGAAATATAAAACAATAATATTATTTAAATTTAATTTATTAACTTAATTCATCACGATCTTTGTATTAATAACGGGTCTTAATGAATACTGGAGTCCATTATCAAACTAATAATTATAAGTGATTAAATTAATAAATTAGGTTCAAATAAAATTATTCAACAAAGAATAAGCCATATTTTTAAAAAGATTGCAATTCCAAGCCCTCGAGAAGTGAACCTTGTAGTATATATATGTGAAGCATTAATTAAAGAATATTTTAAAAAATAAATAGTATTTTAGAAGCAATCTCAAATGGTATTTGAGAGACGTTTATTAATTGATCTAATGACTATCGCCCACGTTGTCTAACTTTAATATCAGAGATTCAAATCTAGTCATTTTTCTCCTTATAATAACACCATACAAAAAAAAAAAAAGTATTTGAGAGAGGAAAAAAAAATATAAGTTTCTAAGTTGGTGATCAAATTCCAGCAATCAGCCTCTTATTTAGACATGGCAAGTTTGCTCCGTATGAGTGTTATGCTATATGTCAAGGTTTTTTTATATTGTTAAATTGCCAAAGAAAGAGTCTGATTATTGAAAAATTTTAGAAGCAATTCCGAGTATGCGCAATTAAGATTGATAATTGAACGAATTAGAGCAGAGTCTAAAAAAATTATTAAAATTCAAATTCAGAATGTCTAATATATAAAAATAAAGGTAAAAATAAAGGGTATTTGAATCAACTTCCGCACACTTCAATTTATATTTTTTCCAATTCAGTCTAATGCATGATATTCATGGCAAAACATTTAAATTTATGACTCCTATTTATCGCTAAGTTATTAACCTCGGGATTCTAAGCAACTTATTTCTAAGGATGAGGTTACTGTTGTGTCATGTGTGAGCTTGGCACTGCTAGATTATTATGGCAAAAAATGATGAGACCACAAAACTTAAAGTCAAAAATGAATTGATGTGGTTTTTGATTTCGCAAACATACTGCCAAGTGTTGGGCAAAGGGTGGGTACCAAGTCATTGTGCAAGCTAAACGCACATGGACGTCTTGTCATTGCGATCACACTAATAAAGAAAGCAAGCAGGACATGAGCCCAGTTGTCAAGAGAAGTTAACCATGTCAGAGAGTTAGTATACTGACTCTGACATTCTGTCAATTAAAAGTAAAATCAGAGTTTTAAAATTCAACTCGAACACTAATTCAGTAAAACAATCGAATTAATAGGTCCCTGATTCAATTTAACGGATAATATAAAAAAAATAATAATTATTATGAATAATAATACATAGGTTAAAAAATTACAATAATTATAAAAATAACATCAAATATATAAAAAATTCAAAGCTTGTTCATCCCAAAGTTGCTTCAAATCTTGAAAATAACATTTGCAACGCCATTCCAGCCAAAGATCTTAAAGACTGTCATCCCAAAATTACTTTAAATCTCTTTGCTATTATAGTTTTTAATAAGACCAATGCAATGATACAATTATGTTTTTGCTAATCCATTATCTGGCATAGGCAAAAAAACTATACATAAGAGTACTATTTGTGCAAGAACATGGATGAACTAATTGTTTTAAAGTTCATTTGGTCTAAATCACCTTTATTGTGTACTCATTTCTTTAGGTCAGTGGCTTCGTCACCATCACAGTCGATGTATAAAAATCAATGCTTCATTCAATGTATATTCAATATTGTGTACAAAATACAAACAAATCAAAACTCAGAGGTAGAGGCCTTTGGCTTTTCTTACTCGCAGTACAGTAGAGAGAGACCAAGGTTGAGAGAGTAAGAAACTGTATGCGTGTGTGAGAGAGAGAGAGAGAGAGGGAGAGAGACTCACGCTGAGAGGGTTGTGATGTGAACGTCCAACATCGCGAAGATGAAGAGGCCGAGGTGCAGATTGAAGACGAAGAGGTAGAGGAGCAGATCGCCGAGGTAGATCACAGATGAAGACGCAGATTGAAGAAGAAGAGGCGGACTGCAAACGAAGAGGAAAAGGCGCAAATAATTTGACGAGGCAAGGCTGGGTATGATTTAGGGCAAAAACTCTGCAATTTATACTAAATTCACTCAACCGTCCGGTTTAATTAAACTCGCCCGGGTTGAACGGTTCAACGGTTTTTATCTGATTCAACGGGTTTATTCCGGGTTTAATACACAAACGATCTGATTGATGATTCGGCACGCTTTACACACCGGTTCATCGGGACAACTTGCCAGACCAAATCGGGTTTTAAAACACTAGATAAAATTATAATATTAGTGGAAAGTGTATGACTATAATAGATAAAATTAAAATATTTGTAAAAATTTTATAAAATTATCATAATAATAGAAAAAATTACAACATTAGTAAAAATTTTACAATATTAATGAAAAATTTATAATAATAGTGGACAAAATTACCTCTAAACTTATAAATTTATCCATAATTGTTGTAAACTAATCCTCAAAGGTGGTAAATTTGCCCTTAATTGTGATAAATTGTCACAAATTTGCTAAATCTCACTCTAGTAACCTTGTGATAGATCATAGACATTTTTGATAAATCACAAACTTACATTTTTTCAAAAAAAATTGAGTTAGGATAACTCTGTTCGATCCCAAATAGTTGAGATCGATCTCAAATATTTTTTTAACATTTTAAGATATATTCTAAACCTTTGCAGTAGATCCTAATCTATTGGAATAGATCACAAAAAATATAGTAGATGATCGACCGCAAAAATTTGGTAATGTACCTTTTTTAAATAAGATTAGTTGTACATTATCAAATTTTGGTGAGAAAACCACATTTGGCGGAGACAACAGTAACTTAATGATAGATCGCAAGTTCTTGTGATAGATCGTAAACATTCATAAAATTTAATTTCACAAAGTTCTAGTGACTTGTGATCGATGATAGACATTTGTTATTGATGCCAACATACTGCTTTTCAATAAGTTTCGGGGGAGTCTACTGTAACCTTGCGATAGATTTCAAGCTCTTAACATAAATTGCAAATATTTTGGAGATAAAAAAATAATAATAATTTCAATATATTCTAAAAAATAATAATTTTGATATATTAAAAAAAATGGGTCACAAAATTCAGTTTTACCAAATTAATAAAAAATATCACAATTTTTATTTTTTTTACATACTATAATTTGCGCCGATTTGATTTCAACATGAGCTACTAGCGCCTCGCGTCAATTAAAATTCGATTCGAGTCGATTGAATTTATCTTTTTTTACTTATTAAAATTTGTGTTGATCAAAATTTAATTCAAGTTAATTAAAATTTATTTTTTTCGTATTAAAATTCGATTTAGTTAAAAATTAGATTTTTTTACTTATTAAAATTTGAGTCAATTAAAATAAAATTTGAGCCGATCAAAATTTATTTTTAATTGGCTCTCATCAAATTTTAATCAACTCGCATTGAATTGTAATTGACCTAAATTTTGATACATAAAAAATATATAAATTTTAGCTGACTCAAATTTTAATACGAAAAAAATAAATTTTAATTAATGTGAATCAAATTTTAATTGACATGAATTTTAATAAATAATAAAATACAAATTCAATCGACTCGAATCGAATTTTAATCAGCGCTAGTAGCTCAGATTAAGCTCAAATCAACTCGAAGTGAATTTTAATTGGCTTAAATTTTAATATGTATGAATTTTAATCAACTGAAATTTTAATATATAAAAATTTATTCATCAAAATAACATTCAAATTCAACAGGTTAACATTAAATTTATTAAATTAAAATTGAAGACCAATTTGTTATTAATTTGACGAAATTAAAATTTCAAAATTAATCTAAATATTAGTTTGATAAAATTGAAGGTAAATTTCATAACAATTCCATGAAATTAAATG